GTAAGACTAGATTTAGACTCTCTACAAACAAAAAGACAGAAAAAGATAGATAGATGTCTGATTGTTTAACAGATAGATAAAGTGAGAGAAAGAACCAATAACGGTGTCTCAGGCATGTAAGCTCAGTACTTTTAGAGGCCGAGGCCAGCAGATCACTTGATGTAGGAGTTTGAGATCAGCCTGGGAAACATGATGGAATCCCATCTCTACAAAAATGATAAGTAAAATATACAAAACAAAGCACCAGCTGTGGTGGCAGATGCCATTAGTCCCAGCTACTGGGAAAGTGGTGTCTGAGACGGGAGCATCACCTAAGCCCAGGGAGATGGAGGTTGCAATGAACTATGATCACGCACCTGAACTTTAGCCTGGGTAAAATACATCTAAAACAACAGTAACTTCAGTGTACAGGAATGAGTGTATGAGTGTGTGTGTGTGTGTGTGTGCGTGTGACAGAGAGAGAGAGAGAGAGAGAGAGAGAGGGAGAACAACAAAAAGAAAAAAGAAAAAACAGAACTCGACCGGGCGCGGTGGCTCAAGCCTGTAATCCCAGCACTTTGGGAGGCCGAGGCGGGTGGATCACGAGGTCAAGAGATCGAGACCATCCAGGTCAACATGGTGAAACCCCGTCTCTACTAAAAATACAAAAAATTAGCTGGGCATGGTGGCGCGTGCCTGTAATCCCAGCTATTCAGGAGGCTGAGGCAGGAGAACTGCCTGAACCCAGGAGGCGGAAGTTGCGGTGAGCCGAGATCACGCCATTGCACTCCAGCCTGGGTAACAAGAGCGAAACTCCGTCTCAAAAAAAAAGAAAAAACAGAACTCAATGTACTGCAAAAACAAACTCAAAGTAGGGCTAGAAAAACACAAAAACAGGGCCGGGCGCGGTGGCTCACGCCTGTAATCCCAGCACTTTGAGAGGCTGAGGCGGGTGGATCACGAGGTCAAGAGATCGAGACCATCCTGGTCAACATGGTGAAACCCCGTCTCTACTAAAAATACAAAAAATTAGCTGGGCATGGTGGCGCATGTCTGTAATCCCAGCTACTGAGGAGGCTGAGGCAGGAGAATTGCCTGAACCCAGGAGGCGGAGGTTGTGGTGAGCTGAGATCGTGCCATTACATTTCAGCCTGGGTAACAAGGGCGAAACTCTGTCTCAAAAAAACAAACAAACAAACAAAAAAAACCAACAACAACAATAACAAAAAAACCAAAAACAAAACCCAGAAAGATCTCCAGAGCCCCAGCTATTTGGGAGACCAAAATGGGAGGATTACCTGGGTGAGCTCAGGAAGGTGGAGGCGGCAGTGAGCCATCACTGAACTCTTCTGCTGGACCTAAGCAGTACTGCCTCGGTGAGAGCCATCTGGTCTACCTTAAACATTTCAACCGGCCGGGCGCGGTGGCTCAAGCCTGTAATCCCAGCACTTTGGGAGGCCGAGGTGCGTGGATCACGAGGTCAAGAGATCGAGACCATCCTGGTCAACATGGTGAAACCCCGTCTCTACTAAAACTACAAAAAATTAGCTGGGCATGGTG